CTGTGGATCCTCCAGCGTTTATATTCACATTTAAAACAAATCGAATCACTGCTGTTGTTCTCTATATGTTTACATGCCATTTATGTCGCATTACATTGTGCATAAGAAAAACACAACGCGGACATTATTGACTTGTCTACAGCGTCAGGGTGATTAAGAGAGACGGGGAGCGTGGGTTTGGATCTTATGGATTCATCAGGACTGAAGCTGTAGATCCAGGACTGAGGCTGTAGATCCAGGACTGAGATCCAGGACTGAGGCTGTAGATCCAGGACTGAGGCTGTAGATCCAGGACTGAGGCTGTAGATCCAGGACTGAGGCTGTAGACCCAGGACTGAGGCTGTAGATCCAGGACTGAGGCTTTAGATCCAGGACTGAGGCTGTAGATCCAGGACTGAGGCTGTAGATCCAGGACTGAGGCTGTAGATCCAGGACTGAGGCTGTAGATCCAGGACTGAGGCTGTAGACCCAGGACTGAGGCTTTAGATCCAGGACTGAGGCTGTAGATCCAGGACTGAGGCTGTAGATCCAGGACTGAGGCTGTAGATCCAGGACTGAGGCTGTAGATCCAGGACTGAGGCTGTAGATCCAGGACTGAGGCTTTAGATCCAGGACTGAGGCTGTAGATCCAGGACTGAGGCTGTAGATCCAGGACTGAGGCTGTAGATCCAGGACTGAAGCTGTAGATCCAGGACTGAGGCTGTAGATCCAGGACTCAGGCTGTAGATCCAGGCTGGGGGCAACAAATTCAGGGACTGCTAAAAGAGGCCCCCTAAACCCCCTATGCTCCTGGGACCCCTGATCATGGCCTCCTTCATCGGCACCTACGGACTGTCTCTTCAACCTTGACTCATATAACAGCATTAAACTGTTATTTTATCATTAAACGGTACTTCTGCATTGGCGAACACGCTCGTAGCAGTTGCAAAAAGTCACGGGAGCATGAGTGCGTCTCTCCAGAGCAGTCCGTTCCTGCATCCCGAGACACACATTCAGTTTCACACTCGAACGCGTGTCATCATTGACTTTGCATTGAAAGTCGACGCAACACATGATCCGGTCTGAACGCAGCTTCACAAATATGATGACAAACATGTAGCTGTAGCTTTAAGGGTTGATTTCATATTTAAAGGACAACTCACCCTCAAATCCAAAATTTTTTTTTGCTGATTAACGGTATAAATGAGTGTCCAATAGTGTTGTCTACATATCCTGGTCATAATTTTGTCACTTTGGTGCAAATTAGTTGAAAGTTAAACTTTCTGCCTAAAACCGTCTGTGAGGCGCCATCTGCTGGCGACCTGTATTACTACATTTGAATTTCGAATCTGGCGCCAAGACTGGCGCGGCAGCAAGACCTGACGTCTGAAGCAAGACCTGACGTCTGAAGCAAGACCTGACGTCAGCAGCCCCCCGCCCAGGGCAATGTAAACGGCCCAGTCTCGTTCACGCCCCCTTTAGTCCTCCAGGCCATGCCCATTTAGAGGAAGATTTGAACAGGAAATGTGAGTGACGTAAGCTCCGAGGAGCGGGGGTGAGAACCACTTTAACAAATGAAATGACACACATACACACGTAAATATTCTTCTCCTATGGGCAGAGATGCATTACACTCCATTACCAGCGCGTGTTACGCCACAGCCCAGGACCGAGGCATTAGCCAGATAAACAGTAGCATCTCGACTTTGCAAAGTGCCCGATCCCTTTGGAAAGCTCTTACCACTTCTAATGCAGTCCATGAAGCACTTATTTAGCACATTTTCATACTCAAAATGATCAGAAATCCTAATTGATCTCCCGCTGAGCTATAATTGAAGAAGTCCATTATCTTTAAGCACGCCATTTACCTTTATGTGGTAGAAAAAGGCGATCCTCTGGTGGGTTTTTGGCCCGGCGGGGAGCGTTCGATGGCCTATTAGACTAAATAGATTTGATGTACTTATGTTGAAATGCCAGGAGCAGAAGCCGCGCTAATAAACCGCTAATGCTCTTCTCAAGATCCTCTCAAGAAAGTCCTGTCAAAAGAGGAATTTAATCACTGCCGCCTCTTATTAGCTTGATGCGTCGCACAGATAGCCGCCGTCACAAGCCTGGAAGTGTGTTTAAATAGACACAGATGCAGCTCCAGAAGAAGCTTTCATCTTTGCCATGTGTGCGGCTGGAGACGTATGTGTGTGTACGTGTGTGTGTATGTATGTATGTATGTGTGTGTGTGTGTGTGTGTGTGTGTGTGTGATGTTTACATGAAATCTAAACGTCTCTCTCATCTCTATCTCATCTCTCTCTCGTCTCTCTCATTTCTCTGTAATTTCTCTTTTGTCTCTCTCTTGTCTCTCTCAGGTCTGTCTCTGGTCTTTATCTTGTTTCTCTCTTGTCTCTCTCTCTCCCCCTAGTCTCTCTCTGATCTATTTGGTCTCTCTCTGGTCTCTCTCTGGGCTCTCTCTGGGCTCTCTCTGGTCTCTCTCTGGTCTCTCTCTGGTCTCTCTCTGGTCTCTCTCTG